AAGAAATCTTAATGTATTTCTTTTCTTCCGAGCGCTTTAAAGAAACTGGGGACCCGCGACGATCCTGAAAGGGTCCCAAGCAAATGTGAAATTGATATTTTAAACTTTTGGCTTTCTGGCGATCTCTTAAATGCTCGTAAAATGCGACTCTTTAATGTTCGTAAAATGCGACTCTTAAATGTTCGTAAAATGCGACTCTTAAATGTTTGTAAAATGCAACTCTTAAATGTTCGTAAAAAATGCGACTCTCGAATGTTCGTAAAAATACGTTAAATGCTCGTAAAATGCGACCGTTAAATGTTCGTAAAATGCGACTCCTAAATGTTCGTAAAATACGTTAGATGTTCGTAAAATGCGACTAAATGTTCGTAAAATGCGACTAAATGTTCGTAAAATGCGACTAAATGTTCGTAAAATGCGACTAAATGTTCGTAAAATGCGACTAAATGTTCGTAAAATGCGACTAAATGTTCGTAAAATGCGACTAAATGTTCGTAAAATGCGTTTAAATGTTCATAAAATGTTGGTGTTAAATGTTCGTAAAAATACGCCCGTTAAATATTTGTTAAATGCGACGGTTAAAAGTTCGTAAAATGCGACCGTTAAATGTTCGTAAAATGCGACAGTTAAATGTTCGTAAAAATACGTTAAATTTTCGTAAAATGCGACTAAAATGTTCGTAAAATACGACCGTTAAATGTTCGTAAAATGCAGCTGTGAAATGTTGGTAAAATGTGACTGTTAACTGGGTCTTAACTGTTAAATGCGTCTGTTAAATGTTCGTAAAAAGTGATCTTTAAATGTTAGTAAAAAGTGATTTTTAAATGTTCGTAAAAAGCAATTGAAATGCAACTGTTGATTGTTCATAAAAAGCGCCCGTTAAAATTTCGTAAAATGCGACTGTTGAATGTTGTTAATTTGCGACTATTACGTGTTCGTAAAATGTGCTCATTAAGTGTTCGTAAAATTTGCTAGTTGAGTGTTCTTAAAATGCGCCCGTTAAGTGTTTGTGAAATGCGATTGATTAGAATTCGTAAAATGTGACTGTAAAGTTTTCTTAAAATTTGCCAAAAGTGCACCCGTTATGTTTTTGTAAAATGCGACCGTGAAGTGTTCTCAAAAATGGGACCATTAAGTGTTCGTAAAATGCGACAGTTTAGTGCTCTAAAGTGCACGACCGTAGACTGTTCGTAACATGCATGATTTGAGAAGCGTCTGGTTGAATGCACGACTAAAAAAAGTCCTTCAGATGCACAAGTTTGAATTACTCTTAAAATGCCGAATGCAAAGGGTTCTGGATGTAAGTTGCAGGGACAGAACAACTGAAAGATTGTCGTTGGAATTAAGATTGCAACAGTTCATGGGTGGCGATTAAACACAAAAAGCTCTTTAGTCAAAGCGAGAGGGAGCTAAATAACTCTAACCTCTGCTAGGCTCTCGGTTAATGAAAATGAGCAAAAGAACGAAATGGCGGGTTCATGCAGCCGCAACAGCCGTTCATGGCTTGCCCGCTGAGTGAGTTAGAGCCCAAAACAGGCTAAAATAACTCAAACTGATTAATCACTCAAAGGCAAAAATAACATGTTCATCAAAATTTATTGATGAGTTACTAGAACAAAACATAAATGTACAAAAGATTACGCCCGGTGACTAAACAGCAACGTTACTATTTTTTTATTTACAAGTATAATAAAGCGAACAGCAAAAAGTAGAATTTATGCCGGTTCCCGCAACCGCCTTAGCTAACGCCTATTACCGACATGTAGCTTCACTATTTTCATTTTTATGGTGATGGCCTCCACCGATTTTCCTCCGGTCAAAGAAACAACAAGGTGCTCGCCCTCTTTGAGATGAATCCTCCAGGGAGCAATCTCCCTATAGGCCTCGATTTTCTGTTCATCAGTAAAGACAGCGAAGCTGTTGAAGGAAGAAAACAATATTTATTTTAATTCATTACTTTTTGGAACGTTTAACAACTATGCCGCTATGCGTTATGAGGCATCCAGTGACCTAGGATTATTTTAGGGTATTGCGATTAACTGGTTTCCAAGACACAACATAACCAAGTTTCTCCTAAAAGGTTTTATGAGCCATTGGTCAGCTTTTTTATGATCTCTTTTAGCTCGGGTTTTTTTTCCTTTTTCCAGTTTTTCTTAGTTCAAAGCTTGGTTTGTAAGCAATTGGATATCCAGGTTCACCGAAACATTCGAAACACGGTTTTCAAGACATTCCATGACTCGGTTCTTAGGCGCTTTAACCTGATTTTCAAGTTTCACGCTATCTTGTATTGAGCGAAATAATTATTTTTCAGCCATCTAACAAGTCAGGAATACATTTCATTGTAGTGCCTATTCGAGGATGGTTACACGGTTTACACAGGAGATAATTCAGTTTCACTTAGCACTCTGTAAATTTTGGAAGGAAAAATTTATGACATGTTTTCACTTTCGATCTTCATCCAAATCCACATATTTCCCCAATCGTAAAATTCTAATTCAAAACAGTTACCTTGCTAGCAGTGAAGTGGGATCCACCCCTTGGACGAAGTGGACTTGAAGATTCTTCCTGTCCTTGTCCAATAGCAATTTCCACTTTCTATTAAACTTTGAGAAAATTGGTGACCCCAATGAGCCGTGCATCTCCGGCGGAATCCTCCAGGTGAAGATTGCTTTTTCTTCCCCTCTATTAGGTACGACGAGGAGACGATTCTGCGAAGGAAATAAATTCAATAAGTTTACATCAAGAGAAGAAATCAAAGCGTCGTAATTGTACTTAATAAAACTCCATTGTTGCGTCCGAGTTTGACGGTTTGGGTTAGAATTAATAAAAAGCATCTTAACTTAACATAACTGCTTCCCACAGAGTCTTTGAACTTTCCTGCTCCATTAGGAGCAGCTGTCATGCGCCGCAATTTCTTCCCGGCGAAGATAAGTGTGACAGCCAGCTACCTGGCACGCGTTCATTACTTTTCCACATGTAGCCATGTGGGCTGGAATCAAATATCTGCGTTTGAAAGGAGATAATTTCAGTCAAAGTCAGCCAACCCCATATTAATTAATTTCGACCGTACAGAATCTCGTTAAAAACTAAAGAAAGAAACACGTAATTAAAAAAAACTATCGTAACTAGACCGGCAAACGGACATCTGGCAGACATTCTATAACTGAGGGTTGCTTTCAACCAAATTCAATGAGAAACACACTTAGAGAAGATGTGGCAGATCGATCTTCGTGTCAAGCATATCACGTAGAGTTAGTTGCAAATTTTAGAATGAAAATAATTACCACTATATTCGTCACTTTGTCGAGTTTGAAACACAGGAGCAAGTAAGTAAGCCACAGTTGACATTCACGATAGAGGCGAAGTTATAAATATGCCGCTATAATGGTTGTTTGTGTAATTCATTGACGTGGCGTTTAACTGACACCCAAAACTACTACCGGAAGAAAAAAGTTAATTGTTACATGATCGAAAAGATTTTAAATGAAAAAAGGTTTTAAATGTGTTCCTCATTGAGCCCTCTAAAACCCTAAATTGTTTTGCGTTCAGCCCAACGGATTGGACGCCTGAAACGTACGCGTCGAATTTTTAATGAAATTCAGTGAGGCGTACGTCGCACTTGGCAAAAGTTTTGAAGTATGTTCTGCAGAACATCCATGACAATGACAAAGCGTGAGCTTTGTATAGGTAATCACATGATTTCGAGTGCAATTTGGAATAAATAAGCACGAGTAAATTTTTTTAAAGACTAACAAAATTGCACGAGCCCTACGGGCTCGTGCAATTTGTGGTCTTGTTTATTCCAAATTGCACGAGAAAAATCATGTGATTACGTGTTAATAATATACATGGAAAAATACGAGATGGCTTATCATAATTAAACATAAGCAAAGCGCGCATCAAGTGCAAAAAAAATTTATTCAAACCGCGCGTTCGGTCAAAACAACCGCGTACGATCAAAACAATAATAAATTATGCAATGATATCTTCACATCTTTAAGGTGCAAAAAAGTTCAAGGAATTGTTCAGTCTGTGTCCGAATCACTTTCGATGAAATGGAATCGTCGTTTCCGAGGTTTAACCATGTTTGTTTTTAATTTCGGCGTTGGATCGCTCGAGCAAAATGTTAAGCTGGGTCGGCTCGTCATTTTCGATTTCCTCGGCAATTCCCTTCTCTAAACACCACTTTTTCCAAACCGACAACCAAAAAGCAGTGCTTTTTACAGTGTTTTCGTTGTTTAAGCTGTTTTTCAGCTGCGGTGGCAAAAGAAAGCCTACTTAAAACGTTGTTGCGACATCCAAGGCTCGCATTTGATTGGCTATCTGTGAGTTTCTTTGATTATTGACCAATCAGAATGTCTGATTTGTTTCTTTCTTTGCACTGAGTTAACCCTCTTCTGCACTGAATTAAGTCTCTTCTGCACTGAATTAAGTCTCTTCTGCACTGAATTACCTGAAAACTGCATTTATCTTAACCAATCAGAACTGAGTAATTTTTCCATGTATATTATTACAGGAGAAACATTTTGCACGAGCGAGGCCCACTACTGTTAAATTTATGTAAACGCAATGGAAATGACGAGACCAGGTACCAGAATCTCCTGCCTGTGAAGACTTTCAACATGCAATGGCCAATGATATTATAGACGTCATCCGTCAAGACTTAAGTGCGAATTTCTCAAAATCAGTTTGTGCAAATGTCTCAAAACTATTGCGTTAGTCCAAAGTTATCGTGCTCAGATGAAAATTACAATCTTGTTCCGATTGCAAAACTAGGGTCACACTTGAAAATGGACTCGACAACAGTATTCTACAAGAAGATCAACAGATTCTCGCAAAAGTTTGCAAAGTATGAATCTTGTCCATCTGTTGAAATAATTTGTCCGAACCATCACTGAAAAGCGTTAGAGCCTTGGTATCTCCTCTAGCGCTCAGAATTTTTAAGCTCAAGTTTGATCGCTTGACCAGTTTATTTGTTACCTTGTTCAACTAGTAAAGCTTTACGAAAAACCTTTGACCCGTTTTGAACATTTACTACATTGAGCATTACTATCTGACCTTTTCATGGTGGAAGTACACCTCAGAGGGCAGGACAAGTCGACATAATCACAATCCGCTTTCAAATGTAGAGGTTTCTCTTTAAGGAAGAGTTGTTGCCCACATGCACACCATATCTCTTCTTCTGGGCAGACTGACTTGTGCTGTAACGCATCTCCCCGCTTAAACTTGGTTGAGCACAAGACACAGTGCTGCTCGATTTCTTGGCAGTCGTGGATAACATGCTGCCTGATATCTTCGGGGGGAAAATCCCTCTCACAGCCCAGGCACTTGGCTGTCATGCCTTGCATCATTTTAGCCGCAAAAAAGTTTCTACAGAAACTTATTCTTGGCTGCCTGCACATATGGCAGTTACATGCCCCGTTTTCCACCATTCGTTCGGCGCAGTGACCGCAAACGGAATGACCACACGGGTGACATATTTTAGCATCGACCATTGGACAAGTACTGCAACATGAATAAAGATAAATTAGGAATAACCATGAGACAACCATGACTTGAAAAGTTCGCGATACATACCAAATCTCACATAAAAATTCCTGCGGGAAACCGGTAAGGTCGATAAAATCAAAATAGTCTTGTGAAGACGACATCCTTAATTTTCTGATTGAACCTTGAGTTACGGAGCGCACACTTAACAATCTGTTCTGAGGTTCTGCCTACGCTGAATGACAACGCAACAAGCCTCCTTTCCATGGATGCCTAATCAAAACACCGGAAGTGGTTTAATGAATAGGGCATTTTAGTACGAATGAAGGCATTTTTGTTAGAAAAAAAATAGCGATCGCGACTTAAAGACCACACGAGTACTAACACCCAATATGTGAAAGTCGGCCAAACCTCGGTGAATGTCCTCACAACATTTTGCTAGATCCGGACGCCTGTTGGCCTGTTTTTTTTCCCTATTATTGCTAACTGTGAGAATTTTGTTCAAGATCACGACAATTTCTTTTTCGTGATATTCCGTGATTAGCTTTGCTTGTGCACGTTGAATTTAAGGTCACGACTTTTACTCACGCGCAACTTTGTCGAAGGGGAAGCCATAGGAAAGGAAGGGAATAATTTGTTTCAATATGGAGCAAAACTATATAGATGTGAGAAACGATTGCTAACGCTGACTTTTTTGTTTCAACATTTTAAGTAACAGATTTTATGTTCACATTTCATTTGTCTACAAGATCGCCACTTATCGCTCTCAGCTTATTGGCCCTACTTGCCGCCTGCAAATTCGTGAACAGAGCGTTTCGCGCCTCTTTTTTAACACTGTGATTGGATGGTGATTTCAACCACGAGCGACATCGATAGTCATGCCAATGATACACAGAAGAGAGATAGGGAAAGATCTAATACTTGGATTAGGTTACAATTTTTTCTTCGCGTATCACAAAACAAATAAACAAACAAAAACAAAAAAACGAAAGAGAAAAGAAAAAAGCAGGCAGGACTTTAAACAAGTCCGTGTTGAGTTGTTGCGGTGCAGTGACCTCATAGGGAATAGCCACACTGGTCAGAGACCTAGGCCATCGACCCAACGGACAAGTAATGCAAAATTAAAAAATAGAATAGAAATGTAACATGAAAAAATTTAACACATACGTTAAGTTAAGTTACGTTCAAGCAATAACCTCCTGGAACAACCATGTATGGGAAAGGTCGCGATGCCTGCCGAATTTCACGTAAAAATTCCTTTGAAATATCGCTGAGGTCGACTCAACGGAGGTAACGTTGTTCAGGCGACGTGCTTGAGTATGTTGTTATTGTTTCATTGCGAATGTAACTTTAAAATAAGTTTTCTTTTAAAACGTTTCGCCTCTATACCCTAAGCCAATAAGCTTTTCACGAAAGAGTTTATGAGTCTATCAAACTCGTGTACGTCGAAAGGAGCGCTCGCCTGAGAGGCGTTCTAGTAGAGGACTAGGAGCATGCCGATGGAGCAATCTGTCATTTAAGGCAACAAAAGATTTCGCGAAATTGAATCTTCGGTCCTGAAACACTTTTTTTTTTCAATATGGATAGCTCAAACTTGTTTCGCAATCTTTAAAAAGTCACTTTTTAATGGAAGATAGCCGTCGCACCTTCAAATATGTTTCCTTGAAATTGAAGTCCAAAATGCTCGCGTACTTCACAACAGGCTGTCATAATTTATTTCTTTGCAAGTTTCTGAGAAGTCTCCCTTTTTTTAAATCTATATGCAAGAAACTCAAAAGCGACTTCGCTGACCCACACATCATGCCAGTCATTTGTACTTGGTGCGTCGCATAATGTTTTTTCTTCAAAGTTTCAAGTAACATTACATTTTACTTGAAAGTAAGTTGAGAGTCAATTTTAATTTTATACGTTATAAATTTCTTTTGACCTCACATACAGATAAGGTTTTTAGGTGAGGTAATTTCGCACTTTAGGGAAAAGAAAAACCCTGTCATTAGACGGAGATTCAACTCATGTCAACAACCGTCAGCTATAATCAATTCGCGTGTGCACTAAGTTCGTCAATTTCCTTAGGGAAAAACTCTTCGATTTGTTTTTTTTGTTTTTTTGTTTTTTTTTGTTTTTAGTTATTGCATGATGGAAACAAAGGAGAGAACATCATTTAATTCTTATAGTTTTTTCTTAGTTGTTTAGCGACCATGCTAAATGGTTTCGGTTTACGTTTTCCACATTTGATGCGTCGCCTTCGAGTTTTAAGTGAGAACATCAGAAATCATCACAGTGATTGCTAGTTAGTAAGTTTCCGCCCCGTTATCTTGACAGGCAATTCATGTCCTTGTCCACGGTAATACATTCAACATTTTATGTTGGTCCACAGGAGCCTCCGCCAAGCGACGGAATATTCTTGGAATTTTTGACATATAGAGATTCATTGCTGAAACTCGCTCTCTGAAACGTAGACAGACATGAGGTAATTGGTTGGTACAATAAATCGTCACACCCGAATTTGGAGAAGCGATTTATGTTTAATGACGTTAGAGAGGAAAATTGTCGTCTCCGCAAGTTTACAAACTAATTTAGTATCTGATGGGTTACAAAATAGAACTTTGAACGAGAAAAAGACAAAATTAGCGCAATGTTTACCATCATTGGCACACGCAAATGCACGTTTTGTTACAGTGGCTGATATTTAGATATTAAAACTCTAAGACTGCGGAACATGTCTGCTCCTCCTCTCCAATCTCGCCACATCTGCTCATGGAGGAAAGCGGGGATGTCTTCCTTGTAACTCCCTTTTCTCTCTTTATGTGGTCTTTTAGCCGTGCCCAAGCTGACTCTGCCTCCTGAGTGTGGACTCCAGTCAGGGGATCAACGAAGTTGTCGTGGTGGACCACACTTCTATGCACCGTCACGTTGGGAACGTGGCGATGCAAACTTCTGTACGCGGTCCAATCGTCAGTGTGGACCTCAGAGCCAGGAAGGAGTACTCTCTGTAGGATTTGGCACAGAGTTGCCCGATCTCTTCGTTGCACTACCTGAAAATATCCCCTGCAGGGCATGTGCTCGGTGGATATAACGCCAAATACCCAACAAGGTCCGTTCCCTGTACGACGCCCTCTTTGATCTGGAAAAAGAGTCAGATACATGCATATGTATATTTACATATTTAGTAAATAAATCCCATCAGGCCGCTGGTATGTGGACTGACAATGTCCTTGGCTGAAAGAGTGTTCGAAAAATGAAAATTCGACCGAAAAGCTTCGAAGGCGAATGTGACAATTTTGAGGACGATACCACAGTCAAGGACTTTATCAGCCGACATACCAGCAAGCCAGAAAGGGCTATATTTCTTTTATAAAAAATCGTTCAAATACCGTTGGTAAAACTTTCTGGAACAGCATTTGTTTCCAGCTCTAAGACTATCACTAGACTCCACAAAACCAGTTTTTTTTACATATCAAATGATTATGATGAAAAGGTAAAACTTTTGAGCTGTCTTTTTTCCGCCGTTTTTTTTCTCCTTCTCAAAGATCATTTTATGAAAGGTAAAATATGTAGAATGTGAAGAATTTTTCATTCATTTCTTTCTAATTCAACAACGTAGCGTTGTAATTTTGAACAGTTCTTCTATACCAGCATACGGGCCATTATTTTTCTGAAGGGCAGGTATGAAAACCGTTAAAAAAAATTGTTTTCAGGGTCTGAAAAGAGAAAATAAATTGTTTGTAAACGTCATAGGGTTAAAAAAAATGTTTGCAGAGAATTCAGGTAAGATATTAAAAAATATTACTACTAAAACTGAAATGAAAAACAAAGTAACAAATTGAGGTATTAGTATAAAAATTAACACACTTTGGGCATTAAAAAGTGGTCATTCTGTATTAAGCAAATAACAAATCTGAAAATAGCTTAATATTTCTTGAAGAAATGAGATTCTACTGTGACAATTAAAAAATGGAAAAAAATTGTTTGCACGAAGATGATGTTGGAAAAAAAATGTTTGCGGAGACGTGTATGTTTAAAAAAAATGTTTGCGGAGACATATGTTTGAAAAAAATGTTTACGGAGACGTATATGTTAAAAAAAAATGTTTGCGAAAGAACATTTCTCATACACCCCCTCCAGAAAAAGAATGGTCCGTCCCTTATAATTACTCATACTTATTAACTGAATTCCATTTTGTATCGAGGAACGTATAACTTGTTTTTTTTCAAAATAACTTTTTTTAGATAGTAAATAGATTTTAAATAGTTAAGATTTCTAATTGGCAAAATAAGAGTCTAGATAGTTTTTAAAGACCATTTTTGCTTGCTTCATAAATTTTGTATATTAATAATTTTTATCTTTCTATAATGATGATGAAGAATTATTTTAATATTAATTTTGATTTTGTGTTTTATAGCGGGCCACAAGTTTATCGGTTTTATTATTATTGTCACGTGTTTACCCTTTTCAGATAAATGCGTTACCTTACCTTAACCCACCTTTAAGTTACTTAATTTTTTATAGGTATAGTTTCCTGGACAACCTAGCCCCTAACAAGGTTATCGGGCTTCATTAACATTGTTTAAAGTTTCTACTGGGGGTGTATTTCTGTATTCATCGAAAACAGAACACGCACCTTGGACTTGTGTCTGAACTGGCTTTCGTCGCTCTTAACAACGAAAACGCGTCCGCCAAACGGACTAACTGGTTGATCTTCGAGATATCTGCCGCAATAATGCCTCATGACGGCGTATACATTTCCAACGGTGTTTCTGGTCAAAGACAGCATCCTCGCAACCGTATAGCGCAGTTCACGATGGCTCCAAAGGTACATAAGGACGACGAGTTTTCCAAGAGGAATTCTGGGAAACTCTCTAAAAAAGCTTCCAGTGCTTAGAGATCTTTTCCGTCGACAAGTTGCACAACGCCTAAAGAAAGAAATAGAAGCAGGAAAGGCGTGTAAGCACGAGAGAGTGTTGTCACAACTACTTAAGCCGTTCATTCTGACGAATGCAACAATCTGCTGTTTCTCATAGTAACGACCCTTTTCACTGTACACTTGCTTTATGACTTCATATTTCTCCATTTTACGACGCCTCAGAAGTAGAGATAGGCGGACTCAACGCTACTGTGTGGATAGAGCCGCGTACGATTGAATTTGGAAAATGTTTGAAATTTA